GGGGGGGGGGGGGGGGGGAGGGCAGTGAGCGAGCTTAGGGCACACGACCATTGGGGGAAATAAAACGCCGCACGGGGTCACACACGGGCATCCAAATCAAGTTAACATGCAAATAAAAGACTCACCTTGTAAATAATGATCTGTAGAACTCAAATAAGAGAGGGAGTTGAAAGAGAGCCCTGGAGAGATATGACGGAGCCCTTCGTGGGGAAAAAAAAGCGGTGCTGACTCAGCCTGAGGGAAAAAAGGGTTCTTCTACTTTGTACTTCGGCAGATTGACTCCGTCTCTGTCGGACATGCGCGATTATCTTGGGCCTTGTTTAGGCATCCATTATTACCATCCCGCTCTATAGCTCTTCCTCTCCTAGGTGTGACTGCATAATGCAGGAGGGAATCCCCAGTCCTCGGAATTGCTGGATTCAATGGCAGCGGTGTGTATGCGGCCTGTGATTTGCCCTTGATCAGACCTCGGGAGTATATCCCTGTTTGACGATCAAACATCTGAACTTGCATCCAGGTACGGAGTACTCCGTACTCTGTACATCCAGGTACATACGTGGCAGTACGGTACTCTATAATATGTTCGTACAACCGGGATGTTTATATTTTTAATCCTGCACCTACATAGCTATGTGATATACTCCGTACTTGCAGGTGACAAGTCCTGCGTATGCACAATGCCGAGAAATTTGCCCTCAACTGCCAGAACTGTCACAACTTCCACCGAACTGGGATCAAGCTCTTGAATAATGGACGGGGCGAGAACCCATAATGACGCACATTTGATCCCACTTGCCCAGCTGATTCCACTTCCGTGCACGGACCAGAAAAAGACCAGCATGTTTTTGCCATTTCCAATTGGCTTTTTAGGAGTGGCTTTTGCCAACACTGAAGTTGCTGAGCTGAAGGCTATACTTAAAGGTCATCCTGTTGGAAGCTCATATGTAGGATGTGATCATTTATAGAATGCACAAGACTTCTCACGTTATCAACAATTTAGTAACTTCCAATGTTCCATATTGATGGGTGTAACCATACGGTCTCCTCAAGGTGGAAATTTCCTCCTGGTTTGTATCGATCCCGTTGATATAAAAAGAAAAAACCTGCCCATGGCTCAACAACCACTAGAGGCTTGATAGACTTTATCCAACCCGGAATTTTACGCCGGGAAGAGTTCCGAGGACCTGTTGGTAAAAGTTCTCAAGTGATCCAGTCAACTGCGAAAGTAGATTATCCCTTGCATAGCCATCAGTAGAAGAGCTATGTTCCACCCGTTGAGGCTCCTAACATTTCGCTCTAGCATTTCTTGAGCAACTACAGTTTAGTAAAAGCACAGCTCCATGTATCCACCTGTTAAAATTTGCTGGATGGTAACTGGTCCTGCATTTTTTTTTGGATCCATCGTGGAAATGCGGAACTGATCCACCATGGTTCTTTTAATGGATGAATAGTTTTACAGTGCCAGAAGAAAAAAACACCGAAGAGGTGTCAGAAAAGGTTCCTTGGGGATATAGACACCAAGCATATAAGAGGCCCGCTACTCCGTATGTCTTTCTTGTCACACATGTTTGCTTCTAAAGTTTATATGTATCACTTACCTCACCGCAGTCACTACACAGCCCCTTCAATAGTTAGCTAGATTGTACATCGTAAATTATGTTGATCATTATATTAATCTTCGGGTGAAAAAATAACATTGTCGCGATTGGATCATATAGCATAGTCTTCATTTAGGGAGGTTATAGACAAATGAGGTTGTTGATACTACGTTCTTTCGCTCCTTGTTTCCTATCGCTCAATGCCGTTGTTTTAGTGTTAGTTCTGTGGCTTCATGGTTTCGTTTGACATTGGGAATTGTCCTTTGTAGAAAAGGAGAATCCCTTGTAATTGTTTGTTTTTAATCCCGAGAGCAGATGTTCCACATGCTACAATTTCCCGGTTTGTCTACTGTAGCAGTAAAACTCAATCTCATCCACCTCGTCGTGTTGCGACGGGATCTCAACGCTGTCCTGCACTGCCGTAAACCCTGCCGATCCCATAAAATCGAAAAACACTGTTTCGCTGTCATGTCGTCTCTTTAGAGCCACCAAGATGATTGCCTCTGGCGATGTCCGTACCAATTGATCGAGCGCAGAGACTAGTGCGGGCAAGCTGTCTGCATTGTAGGTGCAATCGGAGACAAGAATGAGCTCAATGGGCCGGGGGCAGAGATCATCCGGTGGGTTCTCCCAGTCCAGATTTTGATAGTGAAGACTGGACATGGTTGCGAGTTGGGCAGCATTAATATTGCGCGTTATTATGTCCTCAACCTCGGGAAGGTCTGTGAGTAAGACCGAACAGTTGGAAAGCATTGATGCCAATGCGATTCCCGCTATCCCACATCCTGCCCCTAGTTCAACTACCTGAAGAGGGTGATTGTTGGCGTTGGACAGGACTCGGTTCAAAGCTGGAATTTTAGGTTCAATGCTTTTGTTCTTCTTCCTTATATTCTCACAGATCATGTGAAGATATGTAACTGTTGTGAGGCCCGCATCCCTGGGAATATCCCTGTTTAGAACCTCGAGGGGAAAACCGAAAGCTGAGTAGAAGGGTAGCTTACCATATGTGTCGAGCAATGCTATTCCCTGTCTCTTCCCAGATCTTTATGGAGAATGCTTCCTGGCCGTTGTATTGAATTTGTCGTTGAACCAGTTTTTCCGCTGGCATCGACTGAGGTCCAAATGGAGCACTTGTTGCATCAACCACTAATGGTATGGGGGGATACTGAGGTATAGAATATCCTGGTGGGTGCGGCACTTTGACCGTCAACACCATAGACTGCTGGGCAAGTTTGGATGGGAGAGGGCCCAGAGTAATAGCAAGTTCACGATTACTAGCATTCCATTGTGTTGTTTTCTGAAATATAACCCCAGAGGAATTCTCAGCTATCAGCATCAAATCAACATCTTCAGCGAGAAAAGAGTCTCCCAGATCAGTGGTGATGCAAATAAGAGCGGAGACGTAGATGGAGCCTTTCTGTTGCTGAGTCCTGGGGGTTTTCAGGAATCGAACATAGTAGACCATCTTGGAGATATAGAAAATGCCTTCACTAAATTCTCTCAACGCCTCTCCCTCCTCAACGCACCTTCATCAAACCCAAATTTCCCCCCAAATTACCCGCGCTGACTCAGCAAGGAATGACATCGGGTTCCCGAGGTCGTCTTGCTACTTCACTTGCCCCTACTTACCCCAACTTTTCCAATGTCGCCGGCGACAGCTGGTGGAGCTCACACAAGATCCGTCATTAGCAGTGTCTATTGATCGACGTCGTTGCCCAACATGATGCGACCGCGCGACCCCCGCATTCGACAACGGATCAATCAGATCTCCCATAACCTTGAGACCGCCAACGAAACCGCGCAAGAAGGGCTTTATACTTTCTCTCATAACTACATATCCCCCTGTTTTGCATCTATTGGAAACTGCGTGACTGCATGTACAGCACCTTGCTTCCCGAGCCGAGAAGACCACCTAAGGCGCAGACGACGCGGCCAAACCGAAGCCAACTTTGATTTCTACGACGATTGGGCCAATGAAGAAGAAGACGATGGCTTAATTGGATGGGGTACGGGCGAGCTCGACCGCCTCCTTGCTGGCAGCGGACTAGCGCGCGGAGCTGCGGACCAGCCGCGTGGGCCCAGGAGGATGAGCTACGGCACACGCAACACCAGGCGAAGGAGCACCGCACACATTCCAGACAATCGTGACGACCCGACTGTGATCCCCAGCTCTTCTCTCCTTGGCTTCCTCGAGCGCTTTCCGTGGAGATTCGGTGCAAGAGGAGTCAAGTATCGGCCTTCCGCTGCTGATCTCCAAGAACACCCTGGCGCTCGGCGCTATGCGCACGAAGACGAGCCACTAATGGAAGCTGTGGATGACGATGGTAACGATGGAGATCAATTGTCTCCTACCCTCAACAGGAGGAATCGCAGTACCACGCAATCGTCCCGCGGAACGGACAACTCACTTAGCTCGCGCGGGGATCTATTTCCTAGTGATGAGGAGGAAGATGCCGTGCCCCTTGATGATGAGTTTGCGCTTGCTTTCGGGCGCCGGGGAACGGGCTTGGAATCAGATGATCAGTCTGGGGCGAAGTCTGAAATTATACAGTCTGCATCCGCGTCTAGTTTAGGCGCCGCATCCTCGAAAAAGGCAAAGCGGAAGAAGAAACGGTCACCAAAGCGATCGCCTAGTTACAATGGAGCTGCGATTTCTCAAAGTGTCCACACATCATCAATGGAAGACTTGAAGACAGAAGAGCAGCGTGCAGCATTGGAAGAAGAAGCAGACATTGCGAGGCGACGGCTTGCTGCATACGAGCTGGCGTTGAATCGAGGCCTCGATCAGACAGGCGGTGATAAAGTATGAGATCTTTCGCCTTCCAGCCTTAATGAAGGAGAAACTAACCATATTACTACTTGTTTAGCCTGCCGCAACATCCACTAGTCCAAGTCTCCGACCGCAAGAACAATTGAATACCCCGATAAGGACCTTCAGCGAGTCATCAAGCCGCCGGATGTCCGACAATCACACTGAGCCCTTCCCGCCTCTACCAATGTCGCCTTCACCTTTGGCCATAGATCTCCCAGGCTTATCGAAAACCTCGCCAAGGGCTATGTCTCCCCATGAGCTTGGTGAAAATACGACCTCTCTCGATTGATCGAGTTAATAGGTCTCCACACACATTGCTGTAATTTGCTTTGGGTGGTTGCTATGGACCTCTGCCATTGATCACCTATTTTTGTATGATATTATGAGCGACTTTGTTACACTATACCCCTATGAATTGAAGAGTCTTAATAGTCCGAGGCTTTCTCGAGCGTTTCAAATTGAGAACATAATAAAGCTATGATAAACCCTAATCGTTGTTGAGACTCCTCGGCGCCCCGGGCCCAGGAATTGATGAATATCATGTGTGTATCACTCCTTCATCGAATCCTGCTCTATGGGTATCGCGCCCATTTTCTGCTGCGCAGTCGCCAACATCCATCACCATAGCATCACCATGCTGCCCATACCTCCACCTCTCTAGGTCCTCTAAACCCTGCTGGAGTAAAGCTATCTAGAGTCGTTGACTTCCTGCCTCAAACTTCGCGAATCTCCCTCAAAAAAGCATTCTTCAATGCCTCATTCCCTTGTCCACCCAACTCAAACTTGATACCTCCTGCTTCACAGACGCTACCATCGGTATGGCTCCTGTTGATTTTTTTGAGCATATCCCAAACCTGCTCATCATGACGTTCCAAATCCCAAGGCGGAACAAACCGCTCGATGCTGCGGGAGGGATTGTCGTACTCGAAGATCTTCAACTTAGCACCAATTGCAAGGATGCCATAGATAGGTGATGAATCTTCTGCGACGTGACGATATCGAAACGCGAGATACAGCTGTAGCTCTCTCTGTCCGACTTCCCACTGGTTATCATTCTGTCTATCTGCGCGCTGATAATACAGCATAAGAACTGGGTTCTGGCGGCTGTCTTCCAAATGGGAGACTTGAAGCTCGAACCAGCCTGGACATCCACGCACAGCAGTGTGGATGCGCGGGCGAACTAAAAATCCTTGCGTGGATGGGAATCGGAGATTCAGGATCGCGTTCCACGCGGCGATTCCGTCATCCTCAGCATCATAGTTGCGGAGGTTTCTGATCAGCCATTTGATGGCGGGAACGCAAGTGTACTAGAATGTAGGAACTATGTTAGATATGGAGGGGATGGAGGCAGGTTAGCATAGCTCACTGGCACTTACGTTGTTGGACATGGCTCTGGATAGCGAGATTTATTTAGTGATGTGCTACAATATGTAGTGTTGTGTTTGAAGATCAAACAGGGGACGTCTACGGATATTTGGTGAGCTGAATGAAGCTCTTTCAGACAATGTCACTTCCTCTCCTATGCCCTTCAAACAATTTCTTCTACCCTGTGGTCTCCGTTAAATTTACACATAGCTCTTTGAATGCATCTAGGTAAGAATCTCGGGATATAGCTCACCCATATAATAGTATCAACTTTCCATAACTACGTAAGCAGATAAAACGTCGCCAGTAATAATATTAAGTAAAATAATATGTAGGCTCCCTGAGCCAGAAATCAAGCTACGATTACTGCCAAGAGTGAGTTCTAAGCGGAGATATCTAGGTGCATGGCTGCATGGAAGCAGAGATGATTTTCTTGTAGGGCTGGCGAGAGCTTTTTTTTTATGGTGAACTTGATCGTTTGTGAGGCGGATTCTAAATCAGACGCCTCCTTAAAAGGACAGAGGACGATACGCTCGATTTTGGGGATAATAGAAATGCTTGGAGGAGCGTATTCAAAACATGGAGTTTACCTCTTTCTGAGGTTCGTATATCGTGTGCTTCTTTCTATCTACTCATATTTAGTTCCCGTACTCCTAAAGAACTTGGCGGGTTGCTCCATGTCCATATACGAAAATACCAGAAACAAAGATCTATCAAGCCTGTGGAGACAGCCCATCCCAGTCCCAAATTGTATTCTTTGTCGGATTCACGGCTATAATGTGGGACACCCCCGTATAAGGGACAGGACAAAATGTCCCACGTACGTCCCTCAGCCCAGGTCCCGCATTCCTTTGCCCCACATACCCCGGACCCGGAGCGATGCCCTATATCCGAACCCTACAATGGGACCTATTTGAAGTACCGATTTCTTTTTCTTGTCAGTGCAAAGTCTTCATCGATTGAAATTCCCCAGCACACATCATGCCTTCTTGGACGCACCTTGTTCGTTTCATCGCTGTTGAGGACAGTCAGGTTCATCTTGGCCAATTGGTCGATACAACCCGTGATGTTGGACGTGATAGTGTCGATGGAGTGGAGATCGCCGTCAAGGTCATTGAGGGTACCATCTTTGATGGCCGAGTGACAGACGAAATTTTGCATGTAAAGCAGGTGAGTCGGTTGTGATTTTAACGAATAATTCTGGGATATGTACTTATGCCTAGCCATCCAGCTGCTTGCGCCCGTCACTCAAGACCAATGCAGTTATATCCGCTGTTTGGGCCTCAACTACATAGATCACGCACAGGAAGCCAACTTGCCTCTCCCAAAAGCCCCGATTCTTTTCACCAAGCCCCGAACTGCCCTCGCGGGTCCTTATCCCGCTACCATCAACATCCCTAAGTGTGCGCAAGATGGCACCAGTGATTACGAAGCCGAGTTATGTCTGGTGATTGGAAAGACTGGTAGAGATATTCCCGAAGAGGAGGCGCTAGACTATGTTTTGGGATATACTGCCTCCAACGATGTCTCTGCTCGTAATCTGCAGTTGATCACCGCGCAATGGTCTTTCTCCAAAGGTCTTGATGGAAGCTGTCCTATCGGTAAGGGTTGTCATAAGTTCGGGTATATTGTTTCTTGCTAATGAGCACTGATGGTAGGTCCCGTCCTTGTGGCATCATCTGTGATCAATGACCCGCAGGCTCTGTCGATCAAGGCTATTCACAACGGCACTACCGTTCAAGATGGACAAACCAAGGATATGATCTTCCATATCAAGAAGCAAATATCGTACCTCTCGCAAGGTACCACACTTGAAGCTGGAACACTGTTCTTGACTGGAACTCCTGCTGGCATTGGATATTTCCGAGACCCTAGGGTTGTCCTCCAGGATGGTGATGAAATCTCAGTGAAGATTGATCAAATTGGAACTCTCGTTAACAAGGTTCGGTATGAGAGTCGTTGAGATTATGGATTATATATTTGCCTTTACATAGACCTATTTAAATAAGTCTCTGTTAGTCTCTATAGCCTGGAACTTAATGTTTTCCACTATTCAACAATCTCATCTCTCATTATATCATGGGCCTCGATATCCCCGCAGGCCTATCCTGACAGTCTCCTTTCTACCTCTTTGTTTGATTAACACATTAAAAATTCGTCAGGTAGCAACGCAATTGTTTGTGTGTGTTGCGAGCAAGAGGGAATTCATAATGCGTGAGAAGCCCTCCAAGTCCTCCGAGCAAGATACATCCCGATTTCTTCCATCTCATATAGAACAAATTGGTACGTTTAGAAATAGAATTCGAGAGCACTGATATGGCCCAAGTACACGCCAGTATTTACTCCTACATTCAACAGTGCTCCAATCTCTCTCTCTCTCAATTTTCATAGGAAAAATATATTAGACGTTGCATAAGTGAGCAAAAAGCTCGTCCAAAAATTCGACCTCGGGATTGGATTCCAACCCATTCGCTGCCCGTTGGGTGATTTCTTCGAGAAGCAACAATATCACTGCAAAAACCAGGACGGCACTTCAGGTCCCCACACAGCCAACGACTCATCACCCGCAGGACCATACCCTATCGGAGTCTGGTCATTGACCAAATCCCCATCCGCATAATGCTCGATCATGTTCCCTGTAGTATCCCACCAGTAGTCGAAAATCTGACTTCCAAGGATATGTCGGCCAACACCCCACACAGACTTGTAGTTTTTCTTCGCGAGCCATTGGTGGCCTAGCTTCTGGGTGTCGAAGTCGTGGACCTCGAATGAACAGTGGTGCACATGGGATGTCGGGTTTGAGCTCACGAAGAATGAGTGGTGGTCGACGTGCTTGTCACCGCGATCAATGTGGGCGAACAAGGAGACATTCTTCTTTTTACCTTCTACTTCAACGTAGAGGAAGTCTGTTGGGACAATGTTAAAGTTCTTTGTGTAGAATTCGACAAGCCCTTCAAAGTTTTTGGTGCAGACGCCGTAGTGGCCGAGCTAGAAATTATTAGTGTCTATATTTACGATTCAGGGATATATAAACACGAAAAATGGCTAACCTGATGGACTGCGGCTGGACCTGGTTGGAATCGTTGGAATTGACGCACTCGTGGCTTCTCGGTCTCATAATTGACCACCAGCTTCTCTGGGTAGGTGCTAGGTGTAACGGGTGTTTGTCCACAAAATAGGTTCATGGCAAATCCATCAGGATCGGTCAACGTCACCATATAGCCTCCGCCCGGGGCATCTGTGAGCTCTTGAATCTCACCGGCTGTAGGTAGCTTTGTTGCCCTTGAAAGGGTCAGCAGTGGATTATTTGCATTCTCGTTTGTTTTCCATTCTGTACCACTTACTTCTCCAGATCCTGATACGATTCAACTTCGAAAGCACCACCAAGGAACTTCTTCGTTCCTTTCTTCGCGTAGTAGACATAGGGATCTACTCCATAGCCCCGATACCAGATTTCGTCATCGGTCTTCTTTGCGATGGTCATACCAAAATCTGTAAATATATAAGTGACTGCATTTTCTTTCCAAACCACCTATTGCAGAAGCATACCTTCAAGGAAAATAGTAATCTCGTCCAGATCGGGGTGTTGATAACACATATGCGCCAGCTTAACCAAGCGGATCTGCGACTCCGTCGTGATTTCGCATCTCGCTCGCCATGCGGGAACACTTTCAGACTCTGGCCCGATCGCTATGATGTCCGCAATCGAGGCACCGTGGTTGGCTTGAATTGTCTAGGCCAATGAATTAGTATTAGCCCTATAGACGAATGTTATACATACCATTGTCGATGATTTGATGTTGACTCTGGCTTTCCCTGATCCAAACTAGCAAGATTCTCATTTAATCCAACGTGATACCCCAGATACCCTTATAATTCCCCATGGTTGCTTTATTTGTCTTCACAGCTTTGTCCCCGTAAGGTCCCACGTTTCCCCACGTTTCCCCGCGGGACTTCCCCGGCCTCCACGTTCGGATTTATGCGGGGATACGGATATCAATTCACAAATGCAAATCAAGGATATATGCACGGAGCATGCATGGCAAAATCAGTCCCACAATGAGGGAGTTCGGCGGAATGCAATCGGCAAATACGCACAATTCGCTGGCCGTTAACCTGGGCGCTGAATTCTTTTAATGCGACATTCGCCCGTCAGTGATGCGATTATTGATTTGTGTTTCAACAGATAACCACATAACCCAAGCATAAATTATGCACGACACCGACTATGAGACTACTGATGTGGTTATCTGTGGGTGTGGTCCGACCGGGGCTATGCTGTCCGCGTATCTTGGGCAGATGTCCATTCCGCACATTGTGATCGAGAAGGAGCCTGAGATCACTACAGATCCACGCGGTATTGCGCTGGATGAAGATGGAATTCGCTCGTTGCAGGGAATCGGCATCTATGATCAAATTTATTCAGAGATCGGGACTTGTGGGGATATCCAATTCGACTTGTTATCTGTTTTCCTTTGCTAATTGGATGCCAGGCATGCGCAAATTCAAATTCATAGGAGGAACGGACAAGGTTCTCGACAAGAAAGCCTTCTTGGAAATGGAGTATGGCACGGTTTGTATACCTGTTCTTTCCAAAGGACTTCCTGCTCATACATCTCACACAGACTGAGGGTGGCACTGGCCATGTTGGATTCATATGCCATAAGCAACCGATACTAGAGAAATATCTGAGACAAGCAATGGCCTCATCCAGCTTCTGTCAGCTCAAAACCAATTCAAGCATGGTTAATATCCGCGAGGAAGGGGACCATGTCTACTCACAGTATCGTGATTCACAAGGAAAGACACAAAGCCTAAAGTCTCGCTTCCTTGTCGGTGCGGACGGCAAGACAGGCTTTACCAGGAAGAGCTTCCTAGAGCCATTGGGCATCCGGATGGAACAGGCACATCAGTGAGTTACGCTGTCTCCGGGGAATATCTCTTTCGTTGAGATACTAACCGCTGTTAGAGCATTCTACGATGAAACATGGGTAGCACTGAATTGGGAGATCTCACCACCCACGGAAAAGACGCACCCTGAATTTCCCCTGTGGAAATTGGGATACACTCCCGAACAAGTATATGATCTCTTTTTCCCAGAGAGCTTCAGGTTCATCTGCAATCCAGATCGTCCCGCTGTATGTGGGCGTTTCGGGTTACCATGCGATAGACTCTGGCGTTGCGAGTTTGTTGTTCTTCCAGGTGAAGATGGAGAGCAAATGTCGAATCATGAGAACATTCAAAAAGTTGTATTCCCCTATATCACACACCCTGGGAGTCGATATGGGTAAGTTGAATTGTCCGAGAACGCACATCGAGTACCGATACTAAAAATTGCAGATTAAATCAAGATATTCTGTTCCCCGAAGACTGTATCCGTGTCCTTCGATCAAGACCATTCCGCTTCTCTGCGCGAAGCTGCAATAAATGGTCACTTGGTCGTGTAATCCTTTGCGGCGATGCAGCACACGTCTTCCCACCATGTGAGTGTTTTTAAAATCAACGTTATGAATTTATAATAACAACAGCCCACAGTCGGTGGCCAAGGAATTGCATCCGGCTTCCGCGACGCCGTCTCCCTAGCATGGCGTCTTGTCCTCCTCTGCCGACGGCAACCTTCAAAGAAGCCGAGCAACCACGAAGAAGTTCTGTCCGGGTGGTATATCGAGCGCAAGCAGCAGCTGGAGCGGTCTCTCGCGTCAACGATCGAGAATGGCAATTTCGTGACAGAAGGCAATCCTCTGAAGATCTTTATCCGGGACTGGTCTCTATACTTCATGCAATTTGTTCCAAGTTGGAGGCGTAGTCTGAGGCTTGGACGCAGAAAAGAGGGGCTGGTGCAGTATAAGTACTCGCCTGGACTACCTTTTGATCCGACACATACGGGAGGTATATTGCTTCCGCAAGTGTATTGTAAGGCTGTTGGGAGGTCGGTTGAGGTGTTCTTCTCGGATGATATCATCTTCAGAAAAGAGAAGAGAGGAATTTTCCAGCTGCTTGTGTACCTGAGGGATGTGGATGAGCTGACTGCTGTTCACGAGACGGTATCTTGGATTGAAGAGATCTCGAAGGGAGAAGTTTATTGTTCTGAAGTCACATATCTGATTGAGAAGTTTGACGTCGAATCGCATGCTGTCACAAAAGATGCTTCTTCAGTTTACTGTCTGGCTACTGGGGATGAGTTTGCTGGATCACCTTTGTGTCGTGGGCGACCGGAGCCAAAGTATTACGACCCGCTCTACCTTTCCAAGGTGCTGGGAGGGAGAAAGTTTGTGCTGGTTCGACCGGATCGCTTTATATATGCCGCTTGCGATGACTTTCCCCAGCTTGAAAAAGTGGTTTCAGAGGCTGTGGCATACCTGCATGGATGAATTTGGTTTCTTGGAGTTTTTATTGGTGATCTTTCTTTTCACATTTTACCTTCGTCTTCATGCGAGATAGTACAGTCGTGAAAAAGGCTGTGTTGAGTTCTGTAAATATCGGAGTGGACAGGGAGAGAGGCGAAGGGGAAGAGCTAAATAGGTTATGTGGTAGGTATCCAACGAACAGGTGCCGTCTCCCTGCCTGATGCCTCACTTGTGTATTTATATTATTTGATTAAGTTCCACTGATTTAATTCAAACTCAAGATTCATCAATTCATAAAGAATACTGATGCCACTCCGATATGCACATTTTGTTCCTCGAAATAACGCCATCACCGAGCATACCTCTCATCGTCCTTAACATCGGGAAGCAGTAAGCCCAAAATCGATGTAAACAGCTGCGAAATCCCCCAATGACCAACCCTTGGCAAGATATCCACCAATCTACAGAAAGTACTTGACTCGGATGCCGTAGGGCGAAAAGATCTAAACCCATTCGCTTCAAACAGCAGCCTGTGATAATCAATACAGATCTTCTGCAGCTCTGGAAACTCCGGATTCTGATCCGAGTTCGCCGTGTCGGATCCAAAGCACGTATAGCAAAACCAAATTAGTGCTGCTCGGAATATTATTCGCGGGACGTGGATTGGTGGCTCGGTTCCGATGTTCTTCTTTTCGGCTTCACGTAGGATTAGTGCGGCGTGTAGCGCGCAGCGTTGACCGTCTGGGGATGAGGCCCAGGAGCGAGCGTAATCTACGTGATTTTGGGCCTCAGTAAAGCCCTCTTTGCCGATTACTAATTCCAGTCGATTTGTGTCGGCGTATAGTGAAAAGAAGATCGAGTGCCATAGAACGGGTAGGCAGTACGGATCTGGGGTGTGTTCTCTGTTGGCGATGTACGACTCGTGAAAGATCATCAGGTTGTCCTCGCAGTGCTGTCGGTAGGTCCAGCTATTCGTATTTTTGGCTTCGATTATTGATGTGCCAAGTCCCTCGAGCTCAAGATGCGCGTGGAAGCCGTTGCTCCGTGGGGTGAATGTCGGTAGAGGGGACTGGTCGGCCATTGTTTCTGGTGGCCTCAAATGGTTTTCATGCATATTCGAGCCTGAAAGGCGATTCGTTATCTTTCGGCTCCAGTCTTCTACTTTTGTTGCAGCCCATAGGTCATCATCGGACAGTAGTGGGAGTTTTTCTGGTGAATGTCGCAGATAGGGATCTGTCAAAAATAGCTCTGAGATCTCGACATCGTGAATATGAATACCCGCTAGTAGCCTTAATACGACGACTTAGTAATTTAAATATAGTTTAAAGGTTTGTTTAGCTCACCGGTTCTGTTCTTCTGCCTGAATCCACTTTTTCCAGGCCTTTTCTGGTGTGCGGAAGACCTCGCTCAAGCTGATATAGTCAGATGCTCTTTTTAACTTGGATGTAGTTGTCCTCCTAGACCACTTGTGGCTTTGTTAGTAAGACCAAAAGACAAGAGTAGTAAGTCACTTACCACAACCAGAGCGCCATGAAATGTTTGTGCGATCAGTAGATCCTTCTTTCTCTAATGATGCCTGTCAGTTATTGAAAAGCACAAGGATATGAATTTGCTTTACCCCAGATAAAACTCCAAATGTCTGGCCTATGAGAGAGGCCTGAATCATGGCAGTTGTCTCAGGTCCTTGTCTCGAGAAGTATCTTTCCCACTATATCCACGTTAACTAAAGTCGTATAGGGATCTAGTTTGACACGAACCGACGACAGAATCGCTTTATTAAGAGTCTCAAATAATTTGAGACCTTTTGATGCAGCATGTGAAGATCCTACAAACAGGCTTCCAATGGAGCAGATGGATAGCAGCAGCAATGAGCTTTTAGCAGACGGTCGGAAGGTCGGAGCATGTACGATTGGAAACACGGGATGGAATTTCGTGAAATACATTTGAATGCATATATTCTATTCCATTAGTTGAGAAAAGGGACCAAGGGGGGGGAAATTAGAACCTACCAGAAAGTCCGTGGAGGGAAGTGGTAGGAAGGGCACATGAGGCTGAAGCTTCACAGCCAGGTTAGCCCGGTATGCTTCATCCAACTGTGTTGGCTCCGGGCCAATCTCTGGGGTGCTGTGTCCCGTTTGCGATGCCCCCATGAACGTGTACCAATGCGTTTGTACCAGTTCTTCCCGTGATGGAATTATATCCTCCACAAGCTGTCGCGAAGAATCGCCTACAGGCTCATTTTGGTATTGGTCGGAGTTTCCGGGGGTTAACCAGTTACCAGTTGATATCAAAATTTCCGAATTCAGAGCGCCGATATCAAAGTCGTCGTCTGCAAACCATGCCGGAATTTGGGTATTCGAGTTGCCAAAGACCCATGGCACATCTTGACTGGAATCTTGTAGAGACGGCTCTAGGCTAGTTATGTGAGATTGGGAGCCTGGTGTCAGGATTCCGTCCACTCCTCCGTCGAAATTTGACTGTGCCAATTCTTCAACATTCGAACCGATCACGGTCGATTGTTGTGTCGGGTTGGCGAGTGAATGGAATTCCGATCGAAGATGAGTAGCATTTGAATACATCGATCTAGATAGACGATCTGGAGATGTATGGGGCTCATGATTGCCTATTGAATACTCGTGGTTGAATGTAGATACCTGCTCATCTTGGCGATCAAATGGCGGGTGTATGGCATCACTTTCTAGGCCACGGGTCGCACTAGTGGGCAGGATAGTACCAGACGATCGGTGGCATCTTGAATGTCGTAGGAGAGAATCACTAAAAGCTCAGTCAGTGTCGAATTCATCGGAGGTATACGCGATGACACGTACTGGCGACTAAAAGCTTTTCTGCATACGGTACAGACGAACGGTTTCTCTCTAGTGTGTGTCCTAACATGCCGTGCCAAGTGCTCATCCTTAGTAAAGGATTTGAAACACCAAGAGCACAAACGCTGGCGACGAGTCCGGAGACGTTCGGTCATGATTCAGTTATACCTTGGATGAATAGAAGTGGCGGGGATCATGAGAGATGGGAAGTGTGGGGTTGAGTGTGATGCACTCCGGGATTTCTCCAGACTGAGAAGCTACATCGACTCTGCACGTTAATTCCATGGAACAAATCAATTTCTGCTGTGGTAATTGTGCTTGCAGCTTCACATTCTATCCGATCGACGTTCTATCTGCCGCGTTCCGCTCTGTCCCGCAATTTCGGTCCCGCATTTCCGTGGGACCTGGGAACAAAGCCCAGAGTGGCGATGTGATAAAGTAAATGCTTTGAAATCCAGTGTCTTCAACAAAGAAAATCCATGGATGGTCCGTGTGACCCTGTATACCCCGGATCTGGGGAAACTGGTAAATGCGGGGGTTGATATTCGACCTCACCATTTAAGACTCGATGATGTCCCGGCATGACCCTTCATTCAGTTCTCATTGACCGGTCTATTTGTAGTTAAATTATTCAACATGACTATTGGAAAAAAGACTCCTCCCATTGGGCATACTACCAGCGTCTTTGACATGGATATTATCCCTGGGACTGAACTAATGAGGGAGGGGGAAGGAGTCCATCTGGCAAATGGATCAAATCACGATATACAGTAAGTATTATTCCGGAAAATCACTTGACCATATGGCCAAGTGGCCTTTACTCTACTTACTCCATTGGATAGGCTTATTCCCTGTCCCTCTGATGACCCAAAGGACCCCTTAAACTGGTCCAAGCCGTGGAAGTGCAAGTAACTGTCCGAATGTCTTGAAAGGCAAAGGCTGACTATTATATCAACCACCCAGACCTTGTAATTACAACCCAATTCCTCTTTTTGTTCGTCTCTGTAGAGTCCGCACTGTCAATGGGGCCTATGTTTCCCCTCTTCCTCGCCGAATTTCATCTAAACGACACGCAGCTGAGTTTGTTGACCGGGGTTTCTGTGCTCGCTCTTGGCTTTTCGAACTTTATCATTGTTCCCTGTTCGAATACCTTCGGACGACGCTTTACAAGTCTCATTTTTTGCTTGCTCGGCATTTCGTCGTGTATCTGGCAAGCTCTGGCTACTTCATATAGCAGCATGCTCGCTGCCCGCGTTGTGAATGGCATTGCTACAGCGACGAGTGAGACACTTTTGGTACAAGTTATCGCAGATATGCTCTTTCTCCATGAAAGGGGTCTTTGGACCGGCGTTTACTTGTGAATATTCCCCCTATCGCTGTTATTATTTATGCTAATCTTCTATCAGCATGGGCTACTTCCTCGGCCTGTTCATTGGGCCTGTCATTTCCGGTAATATTGCGCAAAAGTATGTCATTTGAACTCAAGTCGGTCCAACCTCCGGATGTACAGAGCTAACTTTAATATCATAGATACGGCTGGCGTAGCTTCTTCTGGCTTTCTCTAGCGCTGACTTGCTTCAACTTGATCACCCTCTTGATCTGCTTCCCTGAAACCCGATTCCGCAGGGATTCAGTTTTGGAGGGCTCGGAGCTCAGAGCAACCAGCTCACCCAGCCAAAATATCAAGCAAACAAGCCAAGAGGTAGAATCCGAACAACTAGAGAATATCGAGCGAGCCAATACCGTTAGTAGCGGGCGGCCCTCTAGGTCCCAGTTCAAACTCTGGCAAGCCCCAGAAGCAGAATGGAAGGCAATTCTTCTCCGGGATATCATCTCGCCATTCCGCCTGTTTTTCTTTCCTATCATCCTCTGGGCGGCTCTGAACGTCGCCGGACCAGCCAATCTCCTCCTTTTCTGGAACCTCACAGAATCTTCTGTCCTCAGCGCACCTCCATATAATTTCTCGCCATCCAGCGTAGGATATGCGAATTTTGCGTTTGTCGTTGGCGGCTTGGTTGGACTTGCTACCGCGGGCCCGTTTTCAGATTGGGTTGCTGTGCGCGCCACAAAGCGCAACAATGGCATTCGAGAAGCAGAGATGCGGTTGCCAGCTCTTATTCCCTATTTCATGTTTACTGTTGTTGGAATTGTGATTGGTGGCGTGGGCTATGATCGGCTGTGGGATTGGCCTGTGGTCCTGGTTGTTGGGTATGGCTTCAGTGGGCTTTGCGTGACGACTGTTCCTACAATCGCCATTGCATATGCTGTTGATTGCTACAAACCAATTTCTGGGGAGATCATGGTTGTTGCAACTGTGATCAAGAATACTTGTGGTTTTGCGATGAGCTATTGGGTTATGCCGATGGCAGCGCGAAGGGGGTTTTTGGCGCCTGCCATGGTTGAGTTTGCGCTGACGATAGGCCCAATGGTCCTAGGGCTTCCGATTTATTTCTTTGGGAAGCGCCTCCGTAGGCTGACAAGGCATTCAAGTGTACATTCTTATGCGGATTGATAGTTTCAAATGAACAAAAGATGTCACATTCTGTTAAATAATATACTATAGGAATAGTACACTAAACAGCATGTAATAACTTTGGGATGATCTTTTACAGAGGGATACTTTGTAGTATGAGGAATAGATTATAAAACTGTCTAATATCCTTCGTACTGGGGATGAAGCCATATTTATAGCTTCATTTCCACCCCTATATATCCCTCACTAAATGCTATGCATTTGCAATGAGAAATAAGAGATACAGCTTCGTAGTCTCGTAGGTCTGCTAGCGGTGAAGTGGCGTTTGGCCTTATAACACACGTACGAGCTGAATAATTCTATCGTAAATTTTTATCTCGGGACGACGGAGCAATTGAGATGTCCTTCTAAGAAAGGATCACATCTGAATTAAGATATCTTACTCGCACCGCCACTTCGGTCAAATTAAAGATCTAAACCTGAATATATATAAGAGGTGGAAGAATACACAGAGTGTCCGGGTATGATTCCCTCCACCCTGACATCAGTATTTGAGCCCTGCGGCTTTCGCAAGGGCCCTGCAGCTCGTTAAGAACCCCCAGGATCGGGCACAATTGAACTCGTAAGACGCTTTTGCGTATGGAGGGCTATCTGTTCGGCATCCATCCTTTAGAAAGATGGTGTCATAGCCTTGAGCATGAGCGTCTTGCAGAGTAGAGCCGACACACTGATCAGTATTAACACCCGAAAACAAGAGGGTGCGGATTCCCTCTGTCTTCAAATATTGGCTCAAGGCAGTGCTCTCGTTCCAAAGGCCAGAGTTGCGATTCTGGTGTATCCAAACGTCTGGGCGAGGCGCTGTCGTTCCATCCTCGTACGCCTTGGCCAATGGCCCATGCAGAGCGGCATTCCAAGTTCCCCTCATCATCACTCGGCCAGCGTTGACCCGACTACCATCCTCTAGAACAACTTCCCCAATCTCAGTGCCTGGCATTTTACTCAAATTTGGCCTCTCGCCGAATTTAAGGAAGTTTGCCGGATCGTCTGGATCGCCAAGCCGGTCTCCAAGACCATAGTCGACTTTTTCTGTGTTAGGCTCCAAGGCAAATACGCGGACTTCAGCCGGGGGTATACTGGCCAGATCATCCTCGGTGAGACCCCAGTTGAGCCAGATGATTTGGAGGCCAAGCTCTCGGGCGGCCGGTATAGCGTATTGAATGATCGCATCTTCGGCCTTATACATGGGGGGAGCAGAGGGCGGATTGAGTGCCTTGTTCATACCAATGTTCTGCATGTCGATGATTACCAAAGCGGTCTTGGTTGGGTCTATTTTGACATTCATGATTTCACAATCGAGACGGACTCCATTTTCTAGCAAGTTCGCCCGTGGGTCGGCGGGGTGCGTTAAGTCCCAGCTATCAGGAGACCAAATCCAACTGTTTCCCTCCGTTCCAACGACAATCCTCTGTATAGGAGTACTCGGAGCACTCTCGGGGGTATCATTCATCTGAATAGTGACCATATTTATTTACCGAAGGTCATTCAGCGTGAGCCAGAACCAGTAGCCAAGTCGAGAAGAGGATGAAGAATCTGTTTGCGAAGAATGGTAAACCTGTGTATGTGCCCGTGTTCGCCTCACCCCTCTTGACAGACATCCCTTGCTCTCCGGGGTCCAAAACGTAAACTAGATAACGAACGACCAATAGAAATCCGACACAAGTTTTGGCGAGGTTCAGCCGTTTTTGGGATGTACTTATTCAATTGGGATGAGTTTCACCATTAAGACGACGTTCACCAAACACCCGGGCCGGGTAATTGCGCCGGCACATCCCAATGCCCCACGCGGGGCATCCTCAGCAAGCCCAGTTGCCCGCCACTCTGGTTTGTGATGCGAGACTATACATAATCAAGTTCTACGAGACCCAAATTATACAGCATTACCGAATTGTACAGGATTTGTACCGCAAACGCACCTCGGCACATCCCTCTACTCCAACATGGCCAAGGCCGAGTCCGATCTCAGATCCATTCTCGATGGTGGCTTCGATCCTCAGGAGTTCCCCTGGTACGAGCCAGAATTGATTGAGGTTCCTGAGCCAGCAAAGACTTTGCTCGAAAAGTACAGCAAAATCCCACCTGGGCACGAGGTGGAACATGTGAAGAAAGTGGTGAGTCACTTCCCATTCCATAGTGGGTGTCCATGCTAATGTCGATGGAATGATCCAGAGAGACCGAGCATTCGCTGTGGTGAGTAGATATTTTTTTACCTACAATATATCCTAGATACGCCGTGGCTTGCAATGCTCACGTGTATGATGCCCATCAGATGCAATTGATGGCTTCCGAATCTTCACATTCCCGGAGGAGCATGACTGAACAAAGATGCTAATAAACATCCATAGTTCCCATATCCTTGTATTGGATCATTCCGGTTCCTGGACTTGAGTATCCCACAGTCACCGCTCTACCCTGAAATTCTGGATAGACTCAAGTCCGGTCAAAAGTTGCTTGATGTCGGGTGTGCAGTCGGACAAGAGCTGCGTCAACTGGTAAGGTTCCAGAGAGCTCATACAGAGTCCAGAGCAATGAAAGCAAATCTAACATACCAAACCAGGTCTTCGACGGCGTCCCCTCTGAGAACCTCTATGCCTCAGACCTGCGACAAGACTTCTACGACATTGGGTATGACCTATTCAACGACCACGATCATCTCAAAGCCCAGTTCATTGTAGCAGATATATTCGACGACAACTCCAATCTAGTGAAAAAACTGACCCACAAGATTGATATTGTGAACGCCGCTTCATTTTTCCATCTTTTCAACTGGGATCAGCAGGTCCTAGTTGCGAAGCGGCTCGTCGGGTTACTTCATGATAAGCCTGGCTCCCTTCTAATCGGTCGGCAAATTGGTCTAGTGAACCCTCCGCCCCCGGAAGATAAGGAAGCCGCTGGGAAGCACTATCGTCATGATCCTGCTACGTGGAGAAAATTCTGGGAGCAGGTCGGTGCTGAAACAGGGACGAAATGGGAGGTTGAGACTCGGATAGAGAAGTGGGCTGGGACTGACAAGACGATGAAAGACTACCATGAGGGGATGGACACTTTCAAGCTGAGGTTCAGTGTTCGGAGGCTGTAGGATAGTTCCTTTGATGAACTGTGATTTGAAGTGTATATAGCATAATTCTAGATTACATCAAGGAGTGGCTTTTGCTGCAACCACTAGATCCTCTTGGGGGTTGACGATAGTATACCTGGGGATCTGCTTAAGTACCCGCAACTCGCCGCTGTCCAGTTCTGCTATGTATGCGGTGCAAAGTGTTGGGATGTAGATGCTAGAATGGTAGAGTCGTACTGGAAAGGTGGGAGTCCAGACTGCAACTGGTGCACTGCAGAGGTTTTTTGGATCTGTGGCAGCTGCGTCGATTCATCAAATAACCAGGGCGGATTTGCAAGAGACATTATCTCTTGGTCAAATATAGTCCACGAGTCATCTGTGTTTGCGACTGGGAACGCTAATGCCACGCTTGTGTCTGGCGGAGTATGCATGGCTTGCATGCTAGACTCGAGTCTGTAGAATAGAACGGTATGAATGTTTGCAGCGGACCGGTTTCTTCGCTCTAGGCTTTGAAGATGTGCTTGGATGAGGAGTAAATCTAGAATAGAGCATTAGAAGAGGTTGATGATTCTGCTTTTTGGGAGCTGAATATGCCATACCATCTTGGTGAGTCATGCCGTCTTCAACGCCTTGAAGGAGTAATACGGCCGCCCATGTAATCATCTATTTTGTTAGAAAGAGCATTACAGGCTCCGGGGCTAAACTTACAACCAAGTCCCAATTGGACCATATGCTCGCATCATCTTGTCTCAGCCTCAACACTGCCCGGGCCGAAACGAGCAATTCGTGTCGCTCAAAAGAACTAATGTTCGCAGGGCTGAGGTCAAATCCGCGAGCTGGATGATAGATCGAAAGCACATATAATTTGTGCAGGTGATATTGGAGCAGAATGAGAATACCTTGTCGATCAGATGGAGTAGGCTCTAACAATAGTCAGTTCGCGAAATTGGATTCCGGCTCATGGACACTCACGGGATGATCCATTGTATCGTACTAGCCAGTCATCAAGTTTCCGTGCCCAATGCCGGATGACCTGCAAGTCACTCTCAGTAAACGGGGACCGAGCTGTGGGCACGATGTCGGCATCATCTGCATTGAGAGAGGACCAGATGCTCGGTAGCCCACGGCCGACAAAATGACTCAGTCCAAAGTGCATCATTTCTGCAAGGCCCTGGAAGGCATTTTCTTGGTGGCTATCCAGCCGCTGTATAGTTGGATTTGCAGCATGTCGTGGGAGAAGTGGATAGGACATGTGCATTGAGGCGTGCTCGATGTCAATAACCTGAAGCAAAGTGTAAATAAAGTATCCAGATTTCGGTGTTTGGTAGCTATTCCTACCTGAAGACCAGAAAACAAGCCACGCCAGTCTTTTGTGGTGGAATTCATCTCTGTTGGGCAATGATCAAGCCAGATACGATATGCCATTGCAATCCACGAGCCTGTGGCACCAATGTAAGCCTCACAGCTCAGACTAGCCATGATCAACCCAAGGATGTCGTGAAAGGCTTTTTCTCTTTTGGCTTGCGGGAAGGCATTTTGCTCTTCGTCCTTCTGCTCTAATAATTGCAGGGAAATTGGGTGCAGAGGCGGAGTCACAAGCTCAGCGATAGCACTATACATAGCGGTAAAATAGCCCGAGTCCAACGATCCCAGCACAGCAAATGGATGGTGCAGAGCAGATATATACAGCACAGAAGCGAGTAGGACAGGGGTCGGAGAAGCGAACGCGCTATGGTCTGTTAGGAAGTGGAGAAGTGGGAGATTTTTCAAGAAGCTGTGACATTGTCAGACATCGGCCATCACATCTTGATTTACACAGTACATACGAGCTCCATAGCTGCTGAACAGTGGATCGCGACCAAACACTATCATTTGGAGGCGGGCGAGTAATGACCCGTAAATGCGCAAGCGCTGTCCATACACCATCCAGTGGCACAGCGTCGATCTCTTCTTCAGGACTTGCCCCATGAGACAAACTAACTTCGTCTTCAGGGTCTTCGGGGTCCTGGGGGTCCTCGGTGATACCTAGCGCAGCCTCGATCCTGGCCAGCCGGTTCAGGATCGCTTGGTGATCTGGGATCACCGGCGGAGAACCAAAAGCTTGTTCTTGCTGCATCCCCATTAATTCATGCACGGCAGATGCCTAGATAAGCTGTCAGCTCCGTGTCCGGGTTATTTGTTTCGTGGTTTTTTCCTCACATTGGCCCGGGGCTTGAAGACACAAGCTGCTCGAGTGTGACGGCAACGGCGACATGGAGGAGGTCCGGATACTTCGCATTTCATCTGATTGATGTGAGTGATATCCTAGCTACTAGCATATTGGAAAGTAGCTATGTCTATACCTTCAGTCGTCGGCAATTTACTTTGACTAGTTAGCTCTTCCCCACAACGGATGCCAATGCCATCTCCCACTCACCACAGGCCTTAGTCGGCTTCGGGCCAACCATGGCGCCCGATCTCTTCATGACTACTCAGAGTAATTCTCCATAACTCTTGGTGGTAATTGATCAAAACAATTGGAGAAGAGTGTAAGCAGACACAGTTACATCGGAGCTTATCAGGGGGGAATTACAGTTTCTCCGCTTTTTTACCAGGGCTGTGGCGCTTGGCCAATTATTCTTCCTCATTTTTGAGTCAACACATGTGAAAGATTGATTTATTGTTTTGATATTTCTACGAATTCTACAATTTCTGAAATAAACATGTATATATTTATGTTCCCTCGTTTTTAGTCCGTCCTGTGTAGACTTATAGGTCCAGGACGGGTCTGAAAAACGGAGAAGAGGAGTGTACCTGGCGGTTCACATCCCCTTTGTTCTTGCGCGAGCATCCTGATGGGAATGAATGCGACATCGTGCAACCAAAGGTGGTGACTGGTTGTAGATGTGATTAGCTCGGTGCCGAAGCACGTGAATATCTTCAGCGCGGTTGGAGATCAAGGCAGGGGAAGAGACATGGAAACAGAGAAACGGAAGAATGGAGATGTATACAGATGGGATATACATGGATATATGTACAAGGTAGGATGCGATGCAAAGAGGTGGAGGTGGATAGAAATACATGGGAAGGTGAAGTCGTGATACAATACTCTAAACAAGGATCTTGCCCAGTTCAGGGAAAGGTGTGTAGGGGAAAAACGGGAGGGGGGAGAAGCAACTGCTGAACAGCGATCCTTAGTTGATATCGCTTACGCAGCGGCATCCATAGAAAGCTTGCGCAGCTCCCATTCCGAATCAGCCCAGTCCTTCTTCTCACCCAGAACGCAAGTCGTTCGTCGCGAGCCGTTCACCAGGAACTTTTCAGCGACCGCGTTGACATCCTTGGCTGTAACATCCAAGACCTGCTCTCTCCAGCGTTGGTCCATTTCATGGGTAACGCCACTCATGAAGTACCGGGCGCCTTCGTCGTCGACGCTCATAGGAGCATCAAGACCTTGGAAGATGCCAAGCTTAGCTTCTTCAATCTCACGCTCAGACCAAGCACGATCTCTAGCAAAGATACCGCTGTTTTTGAAGACCTTGAGCGAGTTGAGAGGGTTCGGGTCCCGGTAACTCATAAAGGTGAAAAGGCCCTTGATAGGCCCGTTACTAGCACCCGCTCCGTATGCACCTCCCTTCTCTCGGATCTCGGGGTGAAGGTAGTTGTGGGTGAGGAGCTGGGACAAGATGCTGAGAGGAGCGCTGGATGGATCAACGAATGGCACAGTCTGGGTAGCCTGGCCGGAGTAATAGACCTTGTACGGCATATCATAGAAGGCCTTATCGGTTGACTTGAAGGAAGAGGTGGTGAGATTGGCGCTTGGGGACTGTGTTTGAGGCAGTCCGGAAATCCACTTTTGCAAAATCGATTCGTTCTTACCAGCACTCTCCTTTTCACACACCATGCGGACGCGAAGGTTGGACGAAGAGATGGCAAAGGATTGAATCAGGCGAAGCTTCTCGATCAGCTCCTGGAGACGCTCGGGAGAGGACTCTGCGTCCCGGAGCAGGTTAGCTGTGGCTTGCAGTTGTTCAAGGCCAGACTGCTGCTCCTGGATCCAGAAGCTTCGAGAAATACTGGCGGCCGCAGCATTGACAGCGAATCGGTGTCCAGTTCCTGCAATGGCATCCAAAGCCCCATTGGTAGTCGTCCGTAAGAGTTCTTGAATCATCGCAGGCGCTGCTGGGCTCGTGAAGTCCGTCTCTGTAACCAAAACCGAGAGCATTTCCAGCATCTCGGGGATGTTCTTGTCGATAGCGAATCCAGAGAACTGCATGCCCTCCTTGAACTGATCCAAGTGCGTTGGGGATGACACAAGGAACGACGAGGTCGAAATTCCTCCGGTCTTCAGTTTGATCAAATCTTCCCATTGTTCCATCGACCGGTTGGCAGTTCCCAAACGCATAACACAGTCGTTAAACAAGGGCATCAGCAACCGAAGTTCATCAGGTAGATCAACAAATTCATTCAAGGCCTGGAAGTAGGTCAAGCCATTGGTGGGAGCTTCGCGCAAGACGACGTCAGCGCCCTCAACTTTAGACTCTCGAACAGGCTTGCGCTCCTTCTCTCGAGAGATGTCCTTGACTCTTAACGACGGGAGGCAGCTCAGGTCAGCATTATGAGCGTCCTCTTGGATCTTGAGAAGTTCCAATTCCTCCTCTCCAAGCTTAGTGACAGCCTTCTCAACTGATCCGTGCTGTTCGATAAGCTGAGCAAGTTTCTTATCCTTGCGCACCACCTCCTTCTCGTCCAACTCTTTGTTGAAAGTGGGAGTACCGACCATGGTGAAGGTCATACATTGGTCGTTGATGAGATACTTTTCCACCAAAGACTCGAGATAACCAGGTTTCGCATATCTGCGCTTAAACTCGTCGATGACATCATTCCAAGCCAGCTCTTTCATGGGGTTTGAGCCGTTGAGCCAAGTCGAGATGGTCTTCTCCATTACACCAATTCCGAAGTTTGCAGTCTTGTGACGCAGAGAGAGCTCCAGCTGATGAAGGAATCCACGAACCTTTTCCTCGCTGAACCCGGCAGAAACGGAATCCCGGAAGACGTTTTGAATCACATTTTTGATATTGGGGGCTTCCGCTTCAGTCACACCATTAAGTCCAACCGAGAAGATGGGGGTCCGGCTAGATGGGTCAAGACCCGTGTTCGGTGTGAAAGAAGAGCCTAGACCACTCTCAACAAGGGCTCGGTACATGGGTGAGCCGTAGCCATCGAGGAGGAGCGAGGAAACTATTCCTACGGAGAAAGTTTCCACAATGTCCGTAGTGTCACCCATGTACCAGGAGGTGGATGTCTTGTGCTGCTTGTCTTCGCTCGCAAATGTATCGACGGGGCCAGGAACAGTCACGTTGAGAGGTCCCTTAGTGAGATCCAGAGGTAGCTTGATGTCAGTATCTGCTTGTCCTTTCTGGAAGCCATCCAGGACGGCACCGATCTGCTGCAGGTGATCAGCCAGAGGCATATCACCATAGGTAAGAATCTTGGAGTTGCTGGGGTGGTAGTTGCGTTTCGAAAACTCCGAGAGCTGCTTATGAGTGAGATCTGTGATGTACTCCGGGTCTCCACCCGAGTTGTTCAGCGAAGGGAAGATGCTCTCCTTGAAACGGATATAGTAGAGATAGTTTGCATCAGAGATCTGGCCCTTCATCTCATTGTAGACAACGCCCTTGAACACAATGTCCTCCAATGAAAGCTGTTTTTCGGGTTGTCCGGGAACCGACTCTCCAGCCCGCGGATCCTCGGGGCCCAAGCGCCATCCTTCTTGTCGGAAATCCGATTCCTTGAGAAGAGGGTGCAGGGTAGCATCAAGATAAACAGAAAGAAGGTTTTTAAAATCCTGTTGGTTGGTTGTGGCAAATGGGTATGTAGTGTGATCGGAAGCTGTGAAAGCATTCATGAAATTTGAGAGGGAGCGCGGAAGCATCTTAAAGAACGGGTCTCGGATTGGAAATCTTGAGGGAGCACAATGTCAGCAAGAATGAAAAGATATTCAATATGATGCAACTCACTTTTCGCTGCCACATAGTGTAGTATGCTCCAGAATATGAGGCACACCAGTAGCATCCGGCGGGTTCGTCTTGAAACCGATTCCAAACACATTGTTTTTATCATCTCTGGCGACATGCATGTAGTCTGCATCGGTCTGGTCATGTTTCAGCCAGACTGCAGTTAGATGAAGCTCAGGGACATGTTTCTTCTCCTGCAGGGTGAATCCGTGGAGCTTCTCGCCGACCTTGGGGAAGTTATCCAAGTTGGTCACAGTTGATGCAGCTCTCCAAGTATTGCGCGGAAGGATCGTTTGCGTTGACTTTAATGAGCGACCGATGAGTGGGTGAGAATTTGGCACTCGCGCCGTACCGAGGCGCATCGATGAGCGCAACATAATTAGGGGTAGTTGACGACCGTAATGAACAGGCTCGCAACCCCGGAGTTGAAAATGTCCAGCCCTGGAGGTTCCACCGCCCAGGCTTACATCATCTATGCTAGCGTAAGCCTCACTGGCCGCCCGCTCGTCGAAGTTCTGCTCCGAAGACCAACATTTGCTCTTTCCCGAACGATACGACAAACGAACAATTCCTACATCCCAGAGCCAGTGATCTCGCTCGTGAGCCTTGCCTCTGGGATCTCCCCTCCGTGTGATTGATCCGTTTACATCCTACCCTGTATCCCGCCTATTTGGCGCAAATTTTCGGCTTCCGGCCTTCGTACCAACCCCCCCGTGGATCGAACCACCAAATACGTGGTTTCTGCAATACCTCACCCAAACAACTCGAAATGTCGTCCACCTCCATGGCGAAGAAGAACAAGGGGAAGAAGGCGGCGGACCCAAACGAGACGTCCAAGCTTTTAGCCGCCAAGATCTCCCAGCTGGAGCAAGATGCCGCCGGCGAGAAAGACCAAGAGGCGGAAATTGGTGCGTGACTCCCTTTGTATTCTGCGGCGGCATTTTTCCTCTTTGCTTGGTGCCGCTGGGCCACGAGGTTAGTCTAGAACTTGGGGTCGCTAACTTGGATTTTGATATACAGAGCGGGAGGTCAAGAAGGCAACTCGTGATCTCAACCAGCTTTTGAGCAACATTGAGTCCCCTATGACCAAACTCGAAACCGTCCATAAGAAGTACACCGAGCTGCTAGCGGATATGAAGAAGTTGGATCGTGATTATTCTAAGAGCAAGAAGCGCGCCGATCAGCTACAAAAGGACCAGGACAAGGGCAAATCCGATCTCAACAAGACCGTTACAATGAAGGACAAGCTGGAGAAGCTGTGTCGAGAACTTACGAAGGAGAACAAGAAGGTCAAGGTGGGTCCATCAGCATGCGCCTCGAGACGATTGCGCCAAACACCACGGAGGACTTGCCAGCTAAACGATTTGGTAGGATGAGAATAAGAAGCTGGAGGACACGGAGAAGAAAGCACGCTTGATTGTGAACGAACGCCTCGACTCGCTCCTCTATGACATCCAAGACGTTATGGCTGCCAAGGGGAACCCTCGCAGTGAAAAGGTGGATGTTGATCTGGATGAAGCGTACGCTTTCGATTCCCTTTTCCTTTTCGCGCTTTCCGTTTGCTAATCGAGAGTTTTAGACTCCGCGCCAAGCTTAAGACCATCAGCGAGCAGTTCGACACGCGTGACCTGCATTACAGGGGCCTCCTACGTGGCAAGGACTCCGAGATCCAAAGTCTCGCTTCCAAGTTTGAGGAGCAGCGCCGTGCTGGTGAAGTTGAAGCCAACCGAAGCCGAGCATTGACCTCCCAGGTCTCCACTTTCTCTCATACCGAGGCCGAATTGCGCAGCCAACTCAACATCTATGTGGAGAAGTTCAAACAGGTACAGAAGGGTTCCCACAAACCCTCTCATTACCCGGTCGCTGACGAAGACCACCAGGTCGAGGACACTTTGAACAACAGCAACGATCTTTTCCTTACCTTCCGCAAGGAGATGGAAGAAATGTCTAAGAAAACCAAGCGCCTGGAGAAGGAGAATCATACCCTCAACCGGAAGCACGAGCAAACTAACCGCAATATCCTGGAAATGGCGGAGGAACGTACCCGGAACCATGAAGAACTTGAAAGATGGCGACGAAAGTGCCACCACCTAGAAGCCCTATGCCGGCGTATGCAAGCCCAGGGTCGAGGCGAAGGACTTGCTCTAGCAGAAGGCGATGATCATTTAGAGGGTGATGATGAAGGTACTGAAAGCGAGTACGACGACGACTATGAAGATGACGAGGAGGATATCAGTGATGAGGAAGATCTCGAGCCGCCCCCTACTCGGGTCGAACAACCCTCAGAGAAGCCTGTCTTCGGTCCCACTCCGCCCCCAAATCTTTTGGAGGCTCGAGCGAATGGCAACGCTGCGGGAGTCAATGGCTTGGTTTTCTAAGATTATTCCAATCTATTTGATGTCGATTTTGATTGAAACAACCTTGGCTACCCTCGATGAAGATTCGGTCCCCGACTTTGTACTTTTCCCTCAAGGGAACTGCTTCATTTTGCCTTCCTTGTGGCTTACAAAGATCTGAAGATTCGTGTTGAATTCGCAAATGTAGAATTTCCATGCCATCTATTTTTGTCTGTCTTACGATATTCCTCGGTGATTACCAAGGCATAATCTATCTTCCTTGTTGGTTTCTTCAAATCTTATTGGATTTCATGTGTTTTGTACAAGTAGATGTCATAGTATTATCAGTAAGAGGAATCAACATGCCAGATAACTCCCATTTCCTCCAACTTCACATCTATATCTACAGTTTACTCGCCGGCCCTGTTGAAGTGATATATGAGCCTCCGACTTTGAGCACATCAACAGCCTGCCGGACCATCTCCTTCACAATGACACCGGCTGGCTTTATATTCTTGACACTAGCTGAGACATCGCCCATGAGGAACGGCATATCGACATCTTTCTCATTCTCCAAATCGTCCACCATGGGCACAATACCTTTGGAAGTCAGCGCGGCAATATCAGCAGGTCGCGATTCCCATTCTTTAATATACTCATTGGGTAGCATGCGCAAAGGCCGACCAGAGATAACAAGTGTGCGTTTGGTCTCACCAAACTGTGCCCCAACAACAGCCTCCTTGTGCAAACGACTAGCGCCGCTCTCCTCGGAGGCCACAAAGCGCGTTCCCACCCAAACACCTGCAGCACCAAACATCAGCGACGCCGCCAGACTCCGACCATCGTTGATACCACCGGCTGCAACTACAAGCGCCGGTTCGCCAGTCAACGGACTCTTATACTGCCGCGCAACATCCACAATAGCAGGTACGAGAACGGAGAACGGCACTTCGCCTGTATGACCGCCGCCCTCGCCGCCCTGCGCGCAGACAATATCGACACCCGCCTTGAACGCCTTATGGGCGTGCTTCGGCGCGCCGATCATATTCATAATTAGAATGCCGGCCTCGTGGAGCCGCTTGATGGTCTTCGCTGGCGGGATGCCGACGGCAGAGACGAAGAGCTTGGCACCGTGCGAAATGGTCACCTCGATTAACTCATCCAGCTGGCCGTGTGTGTAGTCGTGGTTTGTTGCGCGCGCTGAGCCCCCGACTTGCGGGAGAGCAAGATCCACGCCGAAGGGGAGTGAGGGGTCTCGGAGAAGCGACTTGAGCTCTGTGAGCATCTCTGATAGTTGAGTTGGAGTATAGCCGAGTCCGCCAATTGTACCCAGACCACCGGCGTTAGAGACTGCTGCTGCTAATGGAGCTCCAGATGCGCGGGCCATGCCAGCTAGCAGCACTGGATGTTGGATCTTGAGGAGAGAGCATAGTGGTGTTTGGAGAGACATAGTTGTTAGATTGTGAAGATGGCGATGGTAGTCTTTCAAAAGTAGAAGTAAGTGGAACTAAGAGATGGCCGTATCTCAATGCTTTCTTAGATTTATGGAGAACGTATGAAGATCATATATTTGGCGAACATGAACAATGAAGAATGCGGGGAAGCCCTAGTCTAGATATGTACGGACCGAGGCAGATGATAACCGATCTACATCATACCCTACAACATTATGTAGTACAATATACAGTGATTTATGAATGGCACATCTCGGTGAGCATAGAGCATACAGCCTTTTCCACCTTTACCGAGCAAAGATGACTGAGGTCCCGAGTCGCCTTAATGTGATTTATTGCTAGATGCTTCAAATTTCTTTATTTTGGCCTAATTCGGGCTTCACTTATTTTAGAAGCCTAAGAAAATAGTGTGATTAATGAGATTAATAGAATAAATAACAAATTTCAAGAGTCAATTCGTTTCTTCCTAACCAGTTGGCACACACGAGATCCCGAAGCGGGAATGTAATTGAACGCGCTAACTGACGCGTGGGCGCGTCAAACGCATCTTTTTGCATCACCACCTCAACCATCCCCGAAACGCAAGAGCTCAGCGTTATTCCGGACAATATGGCACCGGAAGCTGAAGACTACACTTTTTTGTGTCCTCCTAGGTAATACCTCTAGGTTCACTTTGCCTCTATCCAGGCTGCTATGTACCAAGGAGCTTTAGCTGACCATTGAATGCACTTTGTTTCGATAGCAAGGAGGAACAGGAACAAGATCTGGTTTACCGCACACCCTCCTATTACAATCCTCGCCTCACTTTCCATCTACCAGCTGGTGCAGGACGGCACTATCAGCAGCAATATGACGACATGTACTTTTTGCGACTCGCCAAGTTGAAGCCCATCGTTGAACAAGTCGCGGTGGATGCGTGGGATGGACTTATTGTAAGCGCACTTGCTCCTAGGAGATATTTACTACTATCAGCTATGGACGTTTCTGACAGTTGCTTGCAAATTCAGATCGCTGGAGAGAAGGTGCGACGTGTCGACCGAGTCCTCGATGTCCGACAAGGCGAGCTGTGCTGGGTGGCCGGCACCGTATACATGCATTTGCCAATGAAGCCGAATATTTTGGAGGATCTCAGCAAAGAGGTTAGTTCCTTGGGCTTGCTACTGCTTTTTCTACTGACAATCCATAGAATTTCACCTCTGCGCCCCCTCCTCGCCGCACCTACACCGACCCTTCCAACCCCTCTTTGACGGAAATTATGATGGAAGATGAATCCGGCCGCCTACGGCTCACTGGAAATTTTTTGCAGTCTACGCAGCTAGCCACAGGTGCCATTATTGCAGCATTGGGAACCGAAAATGCGAATGGAGATTTCGAGGTCATTGATATCAAGCTGCCAGACTTGGCTCCGCAGCTCCAACGATGGGAGGGCAATGCTCCAGAAAATGGAATTGAAATTGCTGGAAAGGAACACGGCAAAATTGCCTTCGTCAGTGGCCTGGGAATCACTGGGACATCAAGCGACACGCTTACTTTGGAGCTATTGACAGATTATCTTCTGGGCTACACAGGATTCTCGGGAAACGACGATAACAGTCCCTCCTTGGGTCCCTCTAAAATCTCCCGGTTGGTCATCGCAGGTAACTCACTTGGAGCCAGCGTAATTGGAGATGTGGCGTCAACAAACACTGGCGACGCTGACTCAAAGAAAGCCCAGCCGAAGAAATATGGCTATGACGCCTCTGCATACAATGCCGCGCCTATCACACAACTTGATAACTTCTTAGCGGAGATCTTGCCTAGCATTCCCATCACTCTCATGCCGGGCGAAAAAGATCCCGCAAACTTCTCCCTACCTCAACAGGGGATTCATCGTACTATGTTCCCTCAAGCAAGAGCATATTCCGCACCTCCTGTCAGAGGAGATGAAAAGCCCGAGGTGGGCTGGTTCGACAGTGTCACAAACCCCTGGGATGGCGATGTGGAAGGCTGGCGACTATGGGGATGCAGCGGTCAGAATGTTGATGATGTTCTGCGGTATATCAGTATTGAGGGTGGCGATAGCAGTCCAGACAAGGAGAAAGATTCTGATGCTCGGATGCGAATCATGGAAGCCATGCTTCGTTGGCGCTGCGGCGTTCCCACTGCGCCGGACACAATTTGTATGCTTGGCTACCCCAATCTCTCAAGTAATTTTTGCTAACAATGCTCTTCAGGGTCATATCCATATCAATCTGACGATCCATATGTTATCGAGTCATGTCCGCATATCTTTTTCGCTGGCAATCAGCCACAGTTCAAGACTGCCACGATTGAGAGTGACGTCCCTCTCCGCCTAGATGGCGACACTGAAATGGTGGGTGCCGCCGATGGTTCTGATGCGGCTCGTGTTCGGCTGCTGGCACTTCCCAAGTTCAACGAAACTGGGGAGTTGATTCTGGTTGATACCGAGACGCTAGAGGTCGAGGTGGTCCGGTTTGGAGTTTTCAAGGGTCAGGAAGAACAAAAATGAACCAATAGAGATACCAATCAATGGTACTAATGAAATAACCATTTTTCACATGTGCCAAATAACACATGTATTGATACATTTATATAACCAACCAACCCCATAGCTGCTCAGACAAGCCGTATACAACCCGAGTGGCTCCACGCGCCAAGACCCACACTTGGAAGAATCCATCCCACTAATTTCCTCTGATTTATACCCATCGATACCCTGATAGACATCGAATGAGGCTTTCTCCGCAAGGGTACATACAAATTGAACAATTCCAGATCATTCACACTGAAGAGGATCGTTTTTAATCCTCGACCCACAATGCTACTCAATGCCAACATCGGTACGCTGCTCTATGCCCAACACATATATACTTTCCCCCACAGAGCTCGCAGATCGAGACTATAGTAAAACAGAAGAAACTGACCTCAATATCTGAGGGAAAAGCCCTCTGCTCCTCAAAAGCCCTTTTAGTCCCGTACTCATCATGGCACGTACCCCGATACCATGAATGGATGAAAGACCCGGTAAGCAAACATGATCAATAGGATTCCAATTATGATCGACCTCTTTTCTCACAAACGACAAGGAAATTCAAGAAGCAACAGCTTCAGAGCCCTTAAGTCTAGAAGAAGAATATTCGATGCAACGCAGCTGGCGCCAAGACGCCGACAAACTAACTTTCATCGTCTGCCGGGCGATCACAACAGGCACTGAAGATGGCGTTCCCAGCCAAACAGAGCTACAAACAGAAAGTGACTCGCCAGCTACTATGGTCGGTGATATCAACCTCTTTCTACGCATCGACGACGGTGAGGAGGGCGATAGTCCACCACAAATAGTCGGTGAGGTCGAGCTCATGATCGCCGAGAAAGTCAACCAACGACGCGGGTTTGGGCGCGCTGCTTTACTCATGTTCATGCGGTATATTGTTCAGAACCAAGGGGCTATTCTGGATGAGTTTGTTGGCGGTGGTGATGTCGATGTTGAGACTGTGCGGAAGTTGCGGACTGGTGTTAAGACGGCGGGGTCATCGGAGGGGTTGACGTTTGAGTGTCTGAGTGTTAAGATTGGACAGGCGAATTTGAGGAGTTTGGCTTTGTTTGAGGGGCTTGGGTTTGAGAGGGTTTCTGCTGAGGCGAATTTCTTTGGGGAGTTCGAGTTGCGCAAGACTGATTTGAGTCTAGGTGGTGTTGATGCGGCGCTTGAGGGCGCTAAGGTGCGAGGGTTCATTGCTTTGCCTTATGAGAGAACAGAATAGTGGTGGTTTTTCAATGGTTTTTGGAGTTTCCGGTTAAATTTGGTCGTAGTGATCAGATAAACAATGCACATATATTCATTCAATAGTACTCAAATAACACTAGAATGAAGCATCCAGAGTCAACATCCCTCCAAAACATCCCCCTGGTATTTCCTTATAACCATGAATCAAGCATATAAAGCCGGTCCCGGGATAATATACGAAGTCAACGTGGAATATAGATTGAACAAGATCCCCGGGTCAGTGTTGGTATACAACTTCTCACCAAGCGTGCCATCAGGTACATCACTTCCACCACCAGTGACCTGCAAATTGAAACACTGCGGGTAGTTCTGGGCGCCATTGGACTGGCCAGCAGAATGCAGAGCGATAATTTCATGGCGCATGACATAGTTACCCGCAGCGATGGTAGAAGGAATTCTCACAGTCCACTGCCCCCCAGCAGCAATAAGATCATCAGTGGCCCATGTACCGGGAGGAGTTGTACCATCGATGAGACCGTCTTCTTCAATCTTGAAGAATTTCAGCGTGGTCTTGTCGACTGTGCTGCAGTCACCGTTGCACGAGGCAAGGTATGTCACCAGAGGACCATGGTGCGAGTCTGGCCAGGTCGTCCATTGGATATCAATGCTGGAGCCAGCGGTGACAGGGGCACTCAAAGCTGCGTTAATTCCGCCGCGGTGGCAGATTATGTTCGGATCTTGGTATTCGGTGCCGTCTTCAAAACCGAGGTCGGTTGCCGTTGTTGCCCAGCCGACGCTGTCGGGGGGATCTGACATGTAGGCGTATTTGTCAACGATGTAGCCAGTGTAACTGATAGTGTTGTTAGTTGATTATTGGTATAGAGACACTTGGAATTGTTTTAGCTTACTTTTTGCCATTTGCCACGATGCTGGAGACGTAGCCATGACCTGCCACAAAAGAGGCGGAGGCTAGGAGCAAAGATAGCTTTGAAAATGTCATTTTGTTCTGGCTCTTCTGGTAAATAGTCGAGTGGATGTTTCTGTCTGTGCAAGACATATCTTTGAAGTTGACGCCTGTATTTATACACGACCCTCCCAGGGCTCGCCTTTGTCAATCCTGTATGTGAGTATTGATTTAGCCGGGTGTAATATTCCTGAAGGATGTCCGTTCTGATCCAGGGATAGTGCCAAACACAAGTACGTCAATTGGCACGAGTTGGGCACATGAATATAACATCGAGTCGGAACTAAAAGATTTCTTTCGGAAACTTGTTGGTGGAAAATCATAGATTGAAGCCGGAGTCCAGCTTTCTCATGATTCTATTGGTCTGAATAGAAAAGCCTCGGCGTTTGAGCCATCAAAGCGATATATTAATGAGTGTCATGGGGTCAGCTATTTTATCCCAACAAAGAGAACTAGTCAAGCCAAAGTCTTGGAAAATAGAATTCACATGGCTATATTTGGGGTGCAGAAGCCAGGGGGACGAGTTTCAGCCCTCATGGCTACTTTCTGCAGCTAAGAACAGCAATGAATGGCGGTCATCCGGGGTAGCGGGCCGATGGGAATATCCAATCTACTATGCATCCCTATGGGACCGTCAATCCACCGTACGAAATGATTGATGCCAAGAGAAGCTGTAACGTGCCAAGCATCGTGAAGGGTAACATGTATAGGAATTAAGTGCCGTGGCCTGAAGAGTAATGATCTACGGAACTACCTAGATACTAAGTTAGCTAAGCATCCAAAGGATTGAGGTCTACTTCGTCGACGTATCTCGTAATATGAGACTGCTATACTCGAGGTTAAGAAGCTTTCGGCTTTGGATTGATCATAAACGCTAGATACGAACACCTGATAATGCAATAGTAAAGTGGTACAATATGAAGACAGTGGCTGAGTTAGTAAAAGACAACAAGCCCAATGACATGAACACAGTCAGATAGAGAAGTATCCTGGGAATGTTAATAATGTTATCCAAAGCGTGAGCACGGACATACAACTCCGTGAATAGAGAAAATTAGTACATCTGGGTGCGCTTACCGGAGTAGTATGGACTATAACGAAGAGACGGATGCATAACAACCAGACCAGCTTCATACAACATCTTTTGGAGATACTGAGGAGCAACACTTCGGATAGCCGCTCGCTCCTCACCCGTGAGTTTATCTCTAAGAGTCCTCTTGAAGCCATTCCCGTTCAAGACCTCCTTCAGTTTCTTGAAAAGAATGGCAAATGACCGATGATCTCTAGACGAGGCAGAAAGCCCAAGGATTGACGGTCCTGTCCCCATCGCATTACCACTACCGGTGATGAAATCCTTCGGTTCGTAAGGAAAGCCCGAGAGGAAGAAACTATCAAGTAGCTTCTCAGCTTTAGCATGCAGTGCCAGAGAAAGGAATGACCAACCACCCTCGTTGCAGCAGCTCATATGAGTAGGAGGCAGGATGTCGGAAAACCACTCGAAGCAATGGGTGCAGTCGTCGAAAATGATACCGGTGATGAGATCGGGACCTAGGCCACGGGCACCTTCGATGGGCATGATGCGAGCGGGATTTACGCCCTGGAGGATTAGAGCTGTATTCGCAATATCGATGTTTGGGTACCACTGGACGGCATTCACATGCTGTTTGAAACTGTTTGACGCATTGCTACCCATCCATCCAAGTTTGATGTATCGTTCTATTGTCTTGTTAGTTTTCATAAACTGGTTAATGGCATGAAAGTTTTCGTGTGTCAATCTGGGAGAGCTGCCCAAAAGCTCGTCCAGAATATTGAAGATAATCTCTGGTGGGAACATGCTAAGGTTGCCCATAGCAGGGACCAACGGCTTTTGGTGGTACATCTTTCCAGTTATATTTTCGTTAGTTGTCTGAATGGATCTGTGTTGAAAACCGAATGCGATTGTGGAACAAACTATATGTTTTCACTTGACCGAGATGTGTAGGGAACAAGGCGATGCTGATATTGTCAATGTTGTTGATGGCCCCAGTTTGGACGAGTTCCGATTAGATTTATATAGGCAGGTTCCAGGAGACATATAAGGCATCCTTCCAATGAAGTTTACAAGAAAAGAACCACAAAGGCCTTTCTAAACATCTGTTCTTGGAGATAGAATACCCAACAATGATATTGTGCGAGGATAAGTATGAAATAGACTCGAACAAGGACTCGAACAAGGACTCGGACAGGAGAGGCAGTCCCAAACTCCGAGATCAAAGAACTCAATGCCGGGTAAAAATAGGCATGCTCATTGCTTTCAGTCGAGTCATGAAAGGAAAGAAAGAACTGCAGTCACAATGTCAGTCTAGAGTATTTGACTAGAGATCACGATAGGCTTCTGTCTCGATTGAAGTTGAGTGGAAAAAAAAGCAGGAGGCCTTTGGGATGCTTCCTAACTGGGTAATCCAAGGACTCTTTTCATCTACACAGCCGGTGTATAGCCGATCTACTTGTTGCCTTGGGAAGCAAGATCAAAGTCGGGAGGAAATCCATGACGAGAATAATGGATTAGGAAATCTCGACTGAGAACGAGAAACCTATGTAGTAATGATATTTCAACTGTTTTTTTCATTGGGTTGTAGGGACTGGAACCTCCGACAAAAAGTGTTCCTCGAGTGCGTCCAGAAAATGCGAGTCGCCTGGCCGGTGAATAACAGCAGCCGGTTTCAAAGGCGCAAAGAAACTCCCCCGACGTAAAATTCATGTTTCACGCCACGGAGTTTTCCCCGTGTCGGCTCGCAGAGGGACCAAGCCCGTGTCATGTATCCCCCCAACAGTTGGTCTTGCATGCATCAACAACCAATCACGCCGCACTCCGATTCTCCGTTCATTCCATTTTACCGAATTTAGTTGGTCTTCTTGGTGCCCTTGGTGACATCGACGACCTTGAGGGCTGTTCAGAAAGAAATCGTCAGCATGGGTTCATCCAAAATCAATCCTCCAAGTGGTATATCCTTCGATCCTTCAAACAACTTAGACAGCGTAACAATGCGATCGAAACGTACCAGGGGGCAGGCTCTGCTTGAGCTTGTCGGCCTTGTCGGAGTCCTTCAAGACAAGGGTGTAAAGGTTGCGGTGGCAGCGGACCTTGAACTTGGTCTGCTGGTTCTTGCCGTTCTTCTTGATGCGGGCGGCTATGAGGCGTAAACAGTCAGCATCGATGATCATCTCCAAGTCTCATATCGGAAGTCCATCAATGCAGCGTAACGTACAGGAGGCATCCTTCCGGCGGCAGATCTCAATGAACTGCTTGATATCGGAGACTTCGGCAGGCATAATGACGGTTGCGGGTGTTTTGAAGCAAGGTGCAAAAGAGAAAGCTCACTGTCGACACTGGCCTCTAAGGTGAATGTGTGCGGATCACGTTAGGGCTTGAAGCTGCAAAAGCCCTTGCTTAGTCATGTATGATTTACCGGTGGTGCCTCAGGCGGGGTAGGTGAAGTGGCTGGTGGGGGTGTTGTGGCTTGTACGGCTGGGGTCAGAAATGTGGCTGGGAGATTTCGGGGCAGCGAATGCGATTGCGGGTAATGATGAATAGTCGTCTCTACTTCCTCGGGAATGCGATACGACGCGAAATGGTCCACCATTGTTCGCGATGGCTGAACCCGTTGCTCAGTATATCCTGGCCACCTCGAGTTTCTGCTCCCCAATCGTGAATGGTGATGCAGTTGCGGCTGCGGCTGAACGGATGTGTCTCCTTCGGGATCGAATCTCTCCAGATCCACACTATGTGGAGGAGTCATTCCTTTTGATGTGACATGCAGGTGGACTCGGTATCGCCTGTAAAAGGCTATCCTATAAACAGGGTCAATGTCTGGCTTAATACTGCAGCCATGATGAACCATACCCCTGTATGATGGCAGCTCCCACCGCAATAATGAATGTAACCGAAGTCAGGAAGATGACTGCTTCCATATTTTCTATGGAAACAGGCTGTTTGAAGCGATTCAAAATGAGGGAAGGCAATAATGATAGACTAATAGGTACTGATATGCGATGCAATTTAGAATAGTGAGAGTTACAAAGTTGGAAATGCAAATTTCTATCCAGATAATACTTATGACATGATTCTATTTTTACGTATACAATAGCTCGAAGGAAAGTGCCATCAACCGACCTCGGGAGGGTATGGAGTATGAAATCGAAGTAGGTGCAACTGTTTATACAGTTCGAAGGCAGAAAGGTGGCGTGGTGTGGCGGTGCAACCCGCAGCTTGACGAACTGTTCACATCTATTCATTCGTCTTGGATACTTGTCTTTTGCACGTGTCCTGTGAGAACTTTTTTTCTGCTATTTATTCTCTTTAAACTCTTCAGAAACAATAGTTCTACATCAACCCAAGAAATTCAAAGATTGCATCACTTTTCAAGATGCCGACCCCTTTAGACCGAGCATTGAATTCCAAGGTACTACCAACATATCTGTCTATACTTTTATGATGAAAAATATCTAATGCTGTACTTGATAGAATCTATTCCTTGGTAGATGATCCCAAGTTCAGACACTCAACATTTCTGACCACAACCTTCCTATATAGGGTTTGCAGGAATGGTCACTGCGGTGGCAGCCTATACCATCTTGGGCAGCGATGTTCTTCCCGCGCAAGCAGATCCCACTGGCGGTGAGAGTAGATTTTACTAGATATCAAACACAGACTAATAGAACCTAGACCCTGAAAACTGGACAATGGATGAGATGAGAAGATGGCTTCAAGCGGTATGTTTGAGTGATTTATTCAGAAATGACTGAGTCCATACAATCATACATTTTCTTGAGAATATTACACTGACCAAATGTCTCAGAGAGGACTTTTACCGAATGAGGCTGCGACGCGTGAGCAGCTGCTTGAAAGAGTCAAAGCAAACCTCCGCATACCGCGCAAGACATCGGCTAAGCCATGATTTGATAATGGGGGAAACACCATAATTTTCCTTCCCTTCCTGGCGTTTGGCGCTCTATCTTTGAAACAATTTGAAACAATTTCAAGCAGTGGACCATTGGTTGCATCTTATCTCTCAGCAACTCATCATTGGTTGGTGGGCATGGCCCAGTCTCAGTTTTCGTTCACTTGCGTATGACGTGGCATCGCCTGTTGACTTGTGTGACTGATATATAATTTGTTGGATCAAATGTCGTGTGGTTGCTCAAACCACAAGGCGGAAGTTCTGACTTTCAATAAGCCAATCCTTGCGGCCCCTCGCCCTCTCTGCGGATGGATTGGGGACCAGCACAAATGTCTCGCTGAACCCGCGTTGCGGCTGATCGCGACCCTCGCCATAGCGCACAAATCCACTGACCACAATGAGAAATGACATGTCTTTGACTCCCAAATCTGACTGCGGCTTCAAGCCGCCACCAGGCAAAATGGTAGGGTATGCTTTGTTGATGATTTGGCAGTCGTATGATTGGACTTCGTAGTATGTTGGCGACATTTGATTGGTAAAGATTTCTTGCACAGCGGCGCCGTCTGCGACGCGATTTCCATTGAACAGGATGGTTGTGGGCTCCAGGGAGTAGTAGGAGCTGAGAGATTCGCGGTTTGATCCCAAAGCCGGATAGAAAGTCTTGATGAACTCAGTTGCAGCTAAGCAAGGAAGCAAACAAAAGGTCAGTTCGCTTTTCACAAGGGATGAAACTATCTTATAATTTGAGACTTACCCTCAGTCGACACTTTGGTTAGTGTATCCTCGCCTGCTGTAGCCATCGCGATCGGTATTCCAAGTTGACAATAAGCCGGGTAATACAAGATATAGAAATACAATTCAAATGAGAGAAAATTTATATACTTGTTGATGATGAGGTTGTAGGTCCGGGTGTTCTCGATGACGATGTAAACGCGACAATGTAGTAAGCGCAAAAAAATGGCCGAGACTTGCGGAGAAGCTTGGACCACCCGCGATGTGCGGAATAACATGCAACGCTCTTCTTACCGTTGGCACTCTCCCAATGGCTACAGCAAGGACGCCACTTCGCTCGTTATTCAGGGCGTCTCAGCTTCTGAGATCGAGGCATCCATGGAACTGTACATCCCACAAGCATGGATGGGCAACCACGTCCCGGCGCGGAGTTGCAACTACGCCGCAAAGGTCTAACAAGCCTTACTATGTGACAACGCCAATTTTCTATGTGAATGCCGGTAAGAATTGGACACAGTGAATAACATATGGAAAATTACTTGCTAACAATATCTTTGCCTTCTAGCCCCTCATGTCGGCCATTTATACACAATGGTGATCGCCGATATCATGAAACGGTGGCAGGTCTTGCTCGGGAATACGGATGCTCAACTACTGACCGGAACCGATGAGCATGGAATGAAGGTACTACATATGGATGGGATTGCAGTTGATAATGGACGTTGACATCAATTCCAGATTCAACAAGCTGCCATGCAAGCGGGCATGGATACCCAGGCATTTTGCGATATGAACTGCCGCACCTTTGAGGTACGGGCCCCCTTTGCCATATCCAAGGGCATGTCTAACTCAATCTTTCTGATATAGGCCCTGGCAAACGCGGCAAATATCGACAACGATCATTTCATCAGGACCACCGACCCGGCGCATCGAGATGCCGTCCAATACTTCTGGGTAGGCGACTATGTTCCGTTCATAGGAGGGCATGGCTGATCATGAGTAGGAAATGTTGCAACACCGGGGCTATATCTATACCTCGAAGCATGAAGGTTGGTACTCAGTCAGCGATGAGACATTCTACCCACAGACGCAAGTGCAGAACTCCCTAGATCCATCAACCGGGAGGAAACGCATGGTATGTAGTTTATCAGTTCTCCAACAAGTACGAATACTAACCACAAACAGGTCTCAATAGAAACGGGCAAAG